ATCTCTCTCGAGGGCTTGTTTGTGCTCCTGGAGACTCGGTGCTGTGCGGTTTCTTTGCAGCCAATCGATCCTTCCAACGTCCTCCTTTAAATGATTGTTTGAGAACTATTGGTACCTCCCCAATCTCAAAATTCATTAACATTCCATCGTCAGCCATCGTTACTGTTTTGTTGAAGATTTGCTTTGAAATGCCGAGAATTTGTACAAGAAATTCTCAGATGCAGATGCAAAAGCAAAAAAAGTTTCGTCCCAGAAAAACGTTGAGCTCGGGTTTATTAATCCCAGCCCGCTGGTGTGAGGCGGGAGGTCTAAAGCTTTTCCTGGATAAGCGTCCCACCCGCAAATATCGAAAATTATCTCAGGCTTCATTCTACGCTGCACATAACAGAACAGGATGACTCAAATTGATGTTTCTACCGATATGGCCCTAACTGGGTTGAACATACTAGTTTCTCATCCAAATTGACTTCGAAACTCACTTTGAGTACAACAGGCTCAATTGTTCGCGATCATGTCGTTCCCAATGCGCCGATCAGTGGTACCCCTCTTGACTCTCCACTCGAGCATACTGTTCTCCGCGAATGTTCTCGACGGCGTCTGCCTTGCTTCATCGAGTCGCCAGTCCTACAATACCGAGTACCTCCATTAAGATCTTCCGAGATGTACCTGCGCTTCGCCAATGGCGTCGCAAACAACTCATCGATTATCGAACGGTTGGTCTTGTGCCAACTATGGGAGCTCTTCATGAGGGTCACTTATCACTCATTCGTCTCGCTGCTGCAGAAAATTCAAATGTGATAGTGAGCATATATGTTAATCCAACTCAATTCGGCGTTCACGAAGATCTTGATAGCTATCCGAAGACATGGGAAAAGGATTGCAAGATGTTGAAGGATCTCGACATGGAATTAGCTGATAATGGAAACATGGGAAAGATTGCCGCGGTATTTGCGCCTACATCAGACACAATGTATCCGAGTGGGCCGCCGAGCCAAGAAGTTAAAGCGAAAGGAAGCTTTGTCACAATCACACCGGTGGGAGAGCTATTGGAGGGGCCAGCCGGCCAACATTTTCAGGGAGTGGCCACTGTGTGTATGAAGTTATTCAATATTGTCATGCCGGAGAAGGTATATTTTGGGCAAAAAGATGTTCAGCAGACTGTGGTTATAAAGAAGATGGTTAGGATTTCTGCATGGATACCAAAGTTGTCATCGGAGATACACAAAGAGAGCATGATGGTCTGGCATTAAGTTCAAGAAATGTTTATTTAGGAAAGAGGAGAAGAAACATAGCTACGGCACTATTCAAAGTGCTCAAAGTAGCCGAGCAGGGATATAAATTTGGACATCGATCAAGAGATGAGCTCTTGGGACCTGCATTGGAATTGGCGAAATTGCTGCTAATGGAACAGTATCAATTGAAGCCCGAGGAACGAGTAAGGTTCGAGGTGGATTACATATCATTGGCAGATCCCATGACCATGGAGGAGATCCAAGAGGTTGACGAAACGAAGGGCGCAATTTTGAGTGGAGCAATAAAGATGCTGCCAGTAGAAGCACCACAACCTGGAGAGGATCTTGGTCTGTCTGATGGACCTCCAGTAAGGCTGATAGATAATATTATATTAAAACCTGTAAAGTTATGAGATGCTGGGAAATATAAATTGAAGATTACATATACTAAGAAATAAATGTCATCTTTGTCCGCCCGCTGTCTTACTCGTCCCAATTCTTGATGTATTATACCACAATGTCACCCTCCACAAGTCAACTTCATCAACAGCATTCCCTCCAATTCAGATTCCACAAATAGTAACAACATCTAAAATATTCTTCAAAGATTCCATCCCATTTGCAGCCATAGCTTCTCCTCCATCACCATCACCATCACCATCACCATCACCATCACCATCACCATCACCATCTGAATATCCTAATCTTTTAATATTAATCCACACATCCAAAATGCATAAATCCTCGCTTCACTACCCCATCAATCTCCCCTCCCCAAAAACCTAGCCATATTCCTCTCTCTTATACACATTCCCGCTGAATTATATATGTAATCTTAGTTCTGGACCTCGGTGAAAGGATTAAATACGGGGCAAGTCATTGAATGGAATGAACACGAGATTAGAGAGGGGCTTAGATAAATATGATACGAAAGGGAAGATATGATAAAAGGAAATTCCTGCGTGCAATATCTTCATCATATTAAGACTTACATTGATGAGTTTATTCAGAACCTATATGAATATATGAACATAGATTACCTAGGAAGGACAGAAGAATATATCTTGATCCCACTATAAAGACGCCAAAGTAAAAGCAGAAACTCACCATCTCCAAAATACCACACTTCATCCCTATACATTTATTACTTGATGGTCTTTTAAATTACTGAGATTGTTATTCTCTGGAGTTGAGACTGGTTATTATTCGGATCTCAATTTTATCTTGCTGAGCTTCTTGAAAATTGGCCTTTGGAAGTAGCTGGAAAATTAAATGAAATGGAATGAGGAAATGTTATGTCATCCTATACGCCACCTATGCTGGAGCCTTCAGTGCTGATTTAGATATGTGGTAATGCGATTGAGCATCATGAAGAGCGCGGGATACATGTAAGAAAATGAATTTTATTCAACCCTAAACTTGTAAATATTGGCGCAACTTGTTGCGACAGGAAGCAAAATCACCGCATCTCGGAGTTAATATTTCCTTACACTGGAATTATTCTCCATTTACTAGAAACACCTTGGCATTTTCCATTCCTAAAAAAACAACTCCGATCCCATGGTATCCCATCCCTATTCAAACGCAACGCCCCCAGATTCCTCGCACATCAAAAAAGTAAATATATGCACATCGAAGAAATGGAAATAAGGTAAATAAATCCTTATTTATCCTTTAAGAGTAGCTCCTGGCCATGCAACAAGAGATGTGAGTCAAATAATCCAACGCATGCACCTCTAGGGCCGGCCTAATATTGTCCAGTAGCAGGGAACTTCCGCGCTGTTGGAGCTAAATTCATTGCACTCAATGCTGCATTTGAGAGTTGTGTGATACTAGGTAGAATATTGGGATTTCTATTTTCCATAAGTTCATGAACCGAGGTTTGAGTCAATGTGGAAGATGCTCACCGGGCAGCTTCGATAGTAGCCACATTATACTTCACAGAAATAATCGATGGATTTACCATAATAGCCTTCAAGCCTTTGAGAACTGCAGGAGTGTTCTTAACGATTTTGCTGTTTGCGGAGGAACCTGCACTGCCTGCTGCGGCAAATAGAACAGATCTCTGGGAATCCTCGTCTGATTCTGCATTGAATGCTTTTCCGGCAAGCGAGGCGATGTCTGATCTGTCCGTCATACTGGGAAGTTTGTTTAGGGCCGCTGATACGGTGTTGGCATCGTTGGCAAATCCAGATACTGCTGATTTAACTTGTGCTGCTGTAACTTTACTTTGCTACCGCTGGTTGCTTTCTTTGCGGCAGCATCCTCTTTCAGACTTTCAAGGTTGATTTCTGTGGTTGGCTTTGCGCTACTGGAAGATATTGATGATGTCGATGAGGATGTGGAATTGCTAAATAATGCCAAAGTAGAGTTTCCCTCACGAACAGCCAATCCACTGATGAAACCGCGTCGTGTCACGGGCAAGGCAGTAGAGAATGTGAGAGTAGAAAGGACAAATAGGACAGACGAGAACTTCATTGTGAATATAGATAAGCGAGTGTAAATGATGAGAACATTGATGTGAGTGAACGACTGACTCGCTATGATTGATCCATCAACGTTGTATATACCCATGGCCAAGGAACTCCAAGAAAACCCCAGATACATCCGAAGTAAATTAGTAGAAAGATTGGACTCTATGGTCGTTCCAGAAAAAGCTGGGTACGGGACGCTGGAAAAACTACGCTCAGACAAATTACCGATGGAGATGTCCATTTTCGGTAGGGCACGCGAATTGGTTTCAATTCTAAAGCAACATTTACTTTTATTGTAAGCAGCGATCTGCATGTGAAACAGTAATAAAGCAATTTCATCTAATCCAAATTCACCATCGATCTCCAACATGAGATGACTGAAAAATATTGTTTCTCTTTATATGACGCTGACGATTCAAAATTTTCCACTCCTCTGTTTTGGATCTGTCGAAACCTTTCGATAATATCCACAAGTTGGCACTGAATTTCACGAATCGAACGATTTTTGCTACTAATGCGTATTTAATGTATTTTTTGTGATGATTGAATCATGAATTCGATGTACAGGGTGACCCTATCATTCTCGACGGCTGTTTCAAATCTAGTGTACTTAGTGTTTACCGATTTCGTCTCAAACTCTTGAGGACTTACTCAGGACTACGTGCGGTTATGTAATGTGCACTCAGGCCCAAATTGTTGCATGCCAAAAGATCATTTTCATGATAATAGGCTGATTGAGAATTTTCGATGGTGGAAGCTAGTATCAGAAAGGCTTTAAGCATTGACGTGAAAGCCCTGACCAAGAATAGAACAGCTTATTCCCAAAAGAAAGGGCTGAAAGGTCAGTGTGGTTGGGGAAGTAATTTCAGAAGGATAACCAAGTCCAAACTCACCAAGATTCTTGATGCTTCAGTTTCCCAAAATACTTTCTTTAAAACTTAGCGCCAATGGCCTTCAACAGAATCCTTTTCTGGGCATTCATGCTCATGTCCTGTCATCGAATCAGAATGACATAGATTGAGCGTACGGAACGATATTTGCTGGTTATTGGATGTGGAAGTAGCGTATACACATACTAATTGTGCTCATACTGCCCATAAACCATGTTTATCCGCGAGTAACACTCCCTGGCCTTTCTCCGCATACCGGTACAGACTGAGAACTCATTCTACCAGTGACACAGAATGAAGTTCTCTGACACTTCTCTAGCATAATGAATCAACGTTAAACAGTTGCGTCTATGCCTTTCTGCCATCCAATGATCTCTCCTGAAACTTTGAGGTTAGGTCCTTGTCATCTTTAGCTTGACGTAACATAAAAGACACAGTGGTAACACTCGTTACATGCAGAGATAGCCTTCGAGATCCATGTAAAACTTCGTGTCATGTGAAGAGAGCCGCAAAGCAATGACAGAACATTATGGCTCCATAAAATTACTTCTTCGAAAGTTCCTTTTGGAGTGCATATGGAACAAAGCTGCCGCTCGAGCTGCCAAGTTGCTCGGACGAGATCAAAATCTAATTATAGTGCAAAGAACATGGTACACCGCAAAAAAGTATGAGCCAAGCAATCGAAAAAACCATGCATATACCTGAGGCAAGGAAGGAATTAATATCGTACGAGGGAAATAGAAATACAATGAAAGTGGTCGATAAGTGGTCGATGTCGATGGTGGTCGTAAGAGGGCAACGTCGGATTATGTAAATGACTCGGGATTTTGGCACATATACGTTTTCAAACTCATTAAATTGGAATCCAAGTAAAGAAACGGAAACCTTGAAATCGAGCGATGAGAATTGAAGTTTTGAAATGCTGATCAGCAATCATGTTGCCCATTGAAAGTTATGTCACGTGTGGAAAAGTTTTGAGGGATCTTGGAAATTCGCGCTAATGATGCTGCACCAATAAAAATCCCAGTCAAAAATGTCCCCGCGTCGCGTTTCTGGGTCATTATGTAATCTTACCTTGAACTCAAAGTACAATTATCCTCTTTCCTATAACATGGGGAGTATTATTGCCAAAAAAGTTTCTAACCCATTTTGAGCATTCATAAGTCCGAAGACATTGCGATCAGCCAAACAATTCCACAAACTCGTCCCAAATCACTGCGGGGTCTAGAATTAATGGCTCCGGCACCTGGCTCTCAGTATCCCCTTTACAACACTACTTTTCCATATATCGTGCCTCTCCGCTCTACATTGGCAAAGACGTTCTTAATAATGCGGATTTGCAAGTACATGCACGTCGATTTCGAGATATATTAGCAGGTGATGTTTTACGGGGTGTTCGGGTTGGATTAGGGTCCGAAGATGATACATTGGCTCGTGTAGGTGCTCTGCAAACGGTGGTATGGAAAGTTTTTAGAAGAGAATCGGAATGGGCTGTCGAGGATACAACAGAAGAGACCCTTGGCGAGTCTGGGACGGAGAGTACACATAATCATGGAATACTGGTGGAAGTCAATTACGAGAAAGCGAATTACACTGCAATTTTAATACGCTCGACTCCCGAAGACGACATGGACGTCTCAATCATGCAGTCTTCCGATGATGAATCTGTATTTTTGCGTCTACCTTTGCTATTAACACGCATGCCATTGTCGTTAAGAGAAACATTCATTCAATACGTCTGTCAGATTTTCGATACAAGGGTGTCGGCCCTAAAGTTGGAAGGAAACGATTTGACGAAATCATTCGAGCAATACACATCCAACACGATCAACGAAGCTGCAACAGCCGAAGAGCGCCAAGTTGGTATACAAAAGATCATTAAAGAGATCCAAATATCCATTGGCTTTGACATACCTGATGGATCTGCTACTCTCAAAACTATTGAAATCCATATTGCCAGGGAGGATCTACCTCGTATGCTTTCACGAGGAAATAAAATCACCAAAGATGGATCTCCGTTTATGGCTGCATTGAAAAGTTACATCAAGGCGCATTTGGCATTGGACCTAAATCATGAGAAGGTGAAGATTGTTAAGATTGCATGTGGCGCGTTTGTACTTGGCGAAGGAAGGTTAAAGCTCACACAGCCATCGAGTGTTGAGCATGAAGAGGGCGGACAATATCGGGCAACAAGACAACTCCTCAACGACCTTGTGAATATTGCTTCGAGACGAGGACTGTTAGGGGAGAAGTGAACGCTATAATAGCTTCGCATGTCGAAAGACGTTCATCTCACGAAAAGATGCCTTAGACACTTCACCCAATCAGAAATGAACTCAACTGACCGGAGAAGCTTCGAGAAGGTATTCGAGCTTCTCGGGCTGATACTATAGAGTTCACCCTAACATCTTGCTTGAGCATAGCCGCGCGATAAGCGCTGGATACCAGGAGATGTGGCTTGCCATTTCCTATGCAAAATAGGGTCATGACGAAGCAAAACGCAGATCTAATACTTTATATGACCTGACTTAAATAATAATAGATACAATGACTACTTAACCGAGGGGTGTCAAATTGAATCTACTGAGATCAACCTCCTCGTCATTTGGGATCTAAGCTGGCAGCTCCAGTATCCCTCTGGGGCCCGTGATCTATTCCATCCGCATTTTGGGGAACGATTATCTATGGCTTGAGTATACATGCATTTTGTGGGTTATTACCTCGGATAATGTCATCGCATTGACATTAGGCTTGCATCTACAATCAAAGACTTGTAACATGGAATGTAAATTTGGCGAGAAAATTCAGGGGATTGTGTGCCTTGGGCGAATCACACCCTTATGAGATAATTATTTGCCAAATTACTCATATAATTTTGCTATGGTTGCCCCTCATGATTAATGTGTATTGAGATGTGATTATAATCTTACCATACTAATTAGTATATGCACGACGAAGCGAATTCTTATTCACATGTGCCACCATTAAGCAAATGTGAATCACAATTCAAAGTCACAACTCGCACCATATATTTTCTCCAATCCCCCACTTCAACTCGATAGTGGGGTGAGGCTGGTTTCATTTTACATTTTCTTCTTTTTCCTTCTTTTATTCTTCAACAAGCGCTTGTGGCGTGATATAGTAGGTAAATTATAACCCCTAAGGGACCCCGTGACTACGCGAAGTGTAGGGTTTTAAGTGGGGTTCAACTCACGTCTCCCCAAGCACGCTTTGGAGGGATAGGAGGGTAGGTGGTTAGATGCCAGGTAAGTGCTGGGTTAGATACGAGGTAGATACTAGGTAGTTAGTAAAGCCACATTCACAGAACTCATTACTTGATTTTTATCATTCATCCATCTTCCTTTCTTCTCACTCTCACTCTCACTCTCACTTTCACTTTGTTTATTTTGTTCGAATATTAAATAGTAGGTGTAATGCCAATTAGGATTGTTTTATAGATAGTTTTATTATAAAATATCAAAAGTATTTGTTTCAATAATACTTTTTGATTATTAATAATAATTCATAAAGAATCGGTCTTGTTCTATCTATCATTCAAAAGATTTTCTAGAAAGTTTGTTTTATCCATTTATTTTATGCGGAACAGTTGAGGCGCCTTTCTTGAAAACGCGCAACCCTGAATTCTATTATTTTCCAAAAATCTGCCCACAGACCAGCATTAAATAGAACCCGACAATCATTATCAACCCAAATTATAATCATCGATATCCTGAATTGTTTTACGTCTTTTATTTTCTTTGTTTTCTTAGGATTTATCACGACATTTGTTTTGATCACATAATATCATTTTAAGAATATTATTTTCTGTATTTCAAATTCGTATTTAGATAGTTTGAATCTTGAATCTATTCTTCTGAATACTTTAAGTATTTTTAATATATATCTTTTGTATTCTTTCTTTTCTAAAAGAAGATTAGGATATCATTTAGATAATAGATTACGAATGAATTGAACTTTTTGAATATCTTATTGTTTTATTGTTGATATATAATTGATATATTGATTAATCCAAATAGTATAATTGTATATTTTTATAAATTTGATAATAATATGAAAACTGTTTTTCATTTATAATTCTCTTTTATTTATATCAAATTGAAAATATTCTTTTAATTCAATTTCATATAGATTATTATTCTATTCAATTTATCCTTAAGTTTTTAAACTTTCGATATTGGATATATATCTCTGATTGTTTTATTATTAATTTGGTAATAATCTTTATAAGATTGATTATCTGAATTGTCTTTCTTGAATACTAATAATATATTGAATATATAAAGGGATTTGAATTTTCTAATTTATTTTTTCTTTTCAATTTTAATCCTATATTCTTTTTATATCTATATAGTATTAGGATTGTGTAACCTCAACTTTTCGGTAGAGAGTATAAATCCCTTTTTGAAGTTGATTTTATAATCCCAAGGTTTATATTCTGGTAAAATCTTTAAGTTTTATAAATTCTCGAAAAGTTTAGCAAATCTTTTGTATTATATTAGAATTTCTTTTTTATTAGTTTTATCAATTAATAAAGGATTTGTTATTGTTATAATATAATATCTAATCATTTTAGAAGTTTGTTCTTTTAGATTATATAGTTATTTATTATTATAATTATAATGATCGAATATTAAGGTATCTTTTATTTAATCGATATTTAAATTGTATTTCTTAATCTATAGAGTATCAAGGATAATTATGTATTTATTTAATAATATCAAGTTCATTTTAATTTGCTCGATATATTTATTTAATATAATTATTTTGATAATATTGATTTCTTTATATATCTAATTATCAATTCCAGTTTTCTTTCTTTCTAATAGTGTTAGTTGATAAAGATTTTGTTTTAATTTTATAGGAATTCTATTTTCTTTTGTAAAATAAGGATTTATAAATATATTTATAATTCTAAAATCAATCAAAGTATTGATTTATTGATTCTTTAATTTGATTTTTATAATTAATTGTTTAATCCCTAAAATACTATTAAATTCTAATGATAATAATTCAACAATTTGTTTTCCGATAAGGAGATTTATTTATTTGTATTGATATTTATTTCTATTCAATAATTGATAAGATATAGTAAACAATAATTTTATTGATTTTATTTGAAAATTTTGATAATAATTTTGGTTTAATATTTTTCTGTTATTTTTATCGATTTTTCGTTAGATATAATAAATCCTGATTTGTAATAAGATTTCTTATACATTTCCAACTTCCAGATTATATTTGTTATATTTCTATATTTTATTAAAGAATAGAGAATCTATATCTATAATATATCTTTTAGTATTGTTTACTTTAGTATTTTTTTTAAATATTATATAGTAAATATCATTATATATTATTATATAAAATACTAACAAAGTAAGATAATTATAGATTTTATATTTTTTGATGAAATCAGGTTTCTTTTCTTTATAGTAATATTATATCCATTTCTTATTTAAATAATTAATTAAATACTATAATTTATTTTCCTGAAATAGATAATAAGATTCAATTAATCGTTGATCTTCTTCGAATTCTTTGTTTTCTAATTCAAAATCTTTTAAGGATTTTTTCTTGTAATTATTATTATTCTCAATATTAATTCTAAGGTTTTAATTGTTGATATTTAATTCTTTTAGTTATTTAGAATTGAATTAAAATAATTCTTTTTTTAATAATCTTATTTCCTTCAAATTTCTTTCCAAGATCCTTACTTTTCGAGAACCTTGTTTTTTGTTTCCAAATTTCATTTATTTCCTATTTTTTATAATGAATAATCTTTTCTTTTAAGAACAATCTTGGGATATATATCTATTTTTCTTATAAATATAATATAAATTATTCTTTTTGCATTTTTTCTTTTTATCAGTATTTAAATTATTTGGTTTTATATAATATTGTTTAATATTATCCAATTCCATTAGATCATTGATATTATGATATTTATTTTGATGATAAGGTTTTTGAAACTTCTTATTTTCCTGAATAATTCTTTTCTTTTCTATTCATTGTTTATAAAATCGATTATTAATGAAAATAAAGGTTTCAATTAATTTAGAAAAATTAGATAATTTCAAAGCTCTTATTAATTCGTTTTTGATGATATCCTTCAATTCTTTATAGAATTATGATTTTAGATAATCATTATTTTATATAATATATTCAATATATTATTGAAACTTGATAGTATAGATTATAACTAATCCAATCTACCTGAATTATTGTAATACTTTTTTCAATTATATAATCAGGGTTTATTTCCCCGAATATCTTATCAAATCCTTATTTGAATAATTTATAACTAAAAAAAAAACAATAAATCTCAGATTTCATATTCTCGTTCAATTAATTATCGATAGTTTTGATTATTAAATTATTGAAGAATAATTCAATCCAATTAAATATAATTCCTTAGAAAAAAAAAAGATCAATTATAAAATTCTTTGTATAAAAATCAAGAAAAGTTGTTTATTAAAGGTATAATAAAGATTAATTTATATAACAAAAGTTCGATGTTTGTTACAATCTCTATAAAATAGATTAAGAATAGATATCTAAATCGTTCGTCTGTGTTTCATAATAGTAATGATCTGAATAGAGGCCCCGATTGGATTGAATAGAGATGATTCGATAGGCTGCTGGTTGGAAGTTATTGTATTATATATAGTTTAATTATAACGATGCTCAAAATATAACAATTTGGTAAAGGTAGTAATTGCCTCAGATTTTGTTTGATTGGTAATTGTAGGTTAAGGTTAATAATCATTAATTATCTATTCGAAGGTAAATATATTATTAGATTAATTGGAATATAGATAAACTAATTGATAATTAAATTAAGTACGAAGTTTTTAAACTATGAAATTATTCTAATTATATATTAATCTTTTTTCTTATATTAATTATACTAATTGATTAGTATAACTAGTATTCCTATGATACTAGTTCTATTAATTGATTAGCAAAACTAATATATTATATAATTAATCCTAAAACCTTTTATATCCCAAGACCTTTCCTTTCCTGGATTACTTATTCCAAAGGCTTTTTTTCTAAAAGTTTTAATTTTAAGATACAATATCCTTTAAAATGATAATCCTATTACAATCAATTAAATAGAACATTTGTTTTATTCTATTATAATTGTTTAGAATACTTATCCTAGGAATCCTGGAGTTTTAGGCTTAGGTAATCAGGACCCCGAAAGCAATGGTTAAATCACACCCCTGTAGTCGGCCTATAAATCACCGTCGTCAATAATACTACTATAAAGAAAACCGTGAATCGTGACACACACCCCCTCTATAGTCGGCCTATAAATCACCGATGTCAATAATACTATTATAAAGAAAACTATGAATCGTGATAATATTATAAAATAATATATATTATTAATCTATAAACATCAAGAAATATAAAGAATATATTTATAAATCAAAAGGCAATATTGAAGTCTAGAATTCTACAATATAATTAATAAAATGATTATCGAGTATAATACTTATATTAAAAATAAAACTTTCTATTATACTCTTTATAATCAAATAAATATTATCAAGATATCATTTATATTATAAAAATCAATATCATAAAACTTTATAAATCCATTATCAAAATCCAAAAATTTAATAATAAGAATAGTATATAATTACCTTTTGTTATAATAAACAAATTAACAAAATACTTAATACTTATACTATATCAAATAATATTAATTATAAAAATATTAATCTTTATATTTCTGAAAGAGATTATAATAATATATAGATTATTAAAAGAAATACTTTTGATAAAGATAAACTTTTATATCGAAATTTTGAATCATTTTAATAACATTGTTAAAAATAAAAAGAAAAATATCTATTATATTTTATTTACAAATCAATAAAGAAAACAAGAAAGTAAATCAAATTGTTAAAGTTTATCTTCGATACTATATAAATTATTAATAAAACAATTGAATAAAACTTTTATTTTTAATATAATTTGTATACAATAATTCAATATCAGAAACAATACAAATCATTCCGAATTATATCAATTATAAATATAAACTAATTATATACTATAAATCAAAGATTATAAAAATAGAGAATTAATTTATAATAATACAAATAGAAAGATTCAAAGAAATCTATAAGGAAATGATAATAAAATTGAAATTCGTTATCAAAAGAAATATATATTATTATAATTGGAAATATAATCAAAAGCCAATATTAAAAAAAAGGAATAAAATCTATTTATTTCGAAAAAACATCGAAACAAAAAAATCTAATACAAAATTGGATTACAAAAAATTTGGATTATTTAAAATCAAGAAAGTTAAAAGATTCTTGAATTATGAATTAGTATTATCAAAAAATATAAATATACATCCAATGTTCTATATATCCCTATTCGAATTAATACTCTCAAAAACATTTAAAACTTTTGAAATAAAAATCATATTCATAAATCAAGATATCAAATATAAAGTAAAAAAGATATTAGATTATAAATATATTAAAAACAAAATTAAGTATTTGATAAAATAAGAAAATTATTTCGATTTCGAAAATATATAAAAACTTGAAAAGAAATTAAATATCTAAAAAGTATCAAAAGTTTCATTAACAAAATCCGGATTTATTCAAAAGGAAAAGAATTCATTGTTTTCTACAAAAAAATTGAAAGAATCAAATTCGTTTATAGAAATTTTGTTGAAGTTAATAGAATTAATTAGTAATTGATCAAATTGATCAAAAATTAATTGATCAAATTGATTAAATTGATCAAATTGATCAAATTGATTAAATTGATCAAATTGATCAAATTGATTAAATTGATCAAAAGAATCAGAATTAATAATAAATATTGAGAATACAACAATTTCCTCTTTTTCTTTTCTTTTCTTCTTTTTCAAAGTATTCAATTTATTAAGATATTTGAGATCTTATTTAGTTATCTTTCTATAATGATTTTATAAATAATCTTGTTATTTTTGAAAATAAGGAATTTTAATTATAGTTTTTTTTCTTTTTACGAAGTTTTTCCTTTTGTTTATTTAAGGATTTTTAATTATTTATTCGAGGAATTTCTTTATTTCAATCATTTTTCAAATATTGTTTTGTATTACAAAGAATACAAGATTGTATATATTCGAAACAATAAGTCTTTTACAAATTATTCAGAATTTTTATACAATAAAAACTCTTCGTATGATAATAAATATACAGAATCATCTCAATATTAGAATTCTCGATTTCAATTATAAAACAAGATTTTTCTTTATTCTTTCGATGAATTTTATTGAATTGTGAATTATTTATAATAAGGAAAAAATCAAAATATAAAACAACAAAAACTAATAAACTATATACTAATTATAAGTGATTAAAGATAATATTTGATTAAAAAAAGGATAATATTACAAAATCATTTTATAAAATATTACAAAATAATAATCAATTTATCTTTATAAGTTTTAATCTTATTAAAAAGCAAAATAATTTGTATACAAATTTGTATAACAATTGTTTCGTATAATCTCCCCATTTTCAACAAGTTCAAATATATAATCTGATTCTAATTATATAATAAAACCTTCAAAAGCATAAACTCTTATAAGCTTCTTAAAGCCTTTAGGAATATAAGTATAACGATCTGGTTGAGGCAGCGGTTGCCTCAGGATTCATCTGGTTGGTAGTTGTAGGTTAAGGCTAATAATCATTGGTTATCCATTCGAAGGTGAATACATTACTAGATCAATTGGAATATAGATAAACTAATTGATAATTAAGTTAAGCATGAAGCTCTTAAACTATAAAACTATTCTGATTATATACTAATGAATGTAAAGGAGCTTTATAAAGCTCTAAAACTCCAAAAAGCTTCTGAAGCTTTAGGAGCTTTCGAAGCTCCCAAAGCTCCTTATCATATGATTAGGATCAGACTATATATCTGAGCTTACTAAAGGTGGGGAGACCACATAAAACGATTACTATACAAATTTATATACAAATCGCCTTGCTTTCGATAAGGCCTAAGTTCATATGGACACGTTGACTGCTGCCCCTCAATATATCCTTATCTTAATTGTAAATCGTGACAATAAGCTCCTAGAAGCTCCCAAAATGAATTAATATATAATCAGAATAGTTTCATAGTTTAAAAGCTTTATATTCAATTTAGTTATCAATTAGTTTATCTACATTTCAATTGATTTAGTAATATATTTATTTTCGAATGGATAATTAATGATTATTAATCTTAATTTATAACTATTAATTATACAAAAACCTGAGGCAGTCACTGCCTCGATTAGATCGTTACAATACTTTTATTTATAAATATAAATAAAGAATATTGATATTTCTTATATTTTATATTATAAGAAAGTTAAAGTTATAAACCAGATATATAAAGGTTTTTAATTAATCAATTATATAATCTTTTATAATTAAATATAAAAAAAGAGCTTTTGTTTCTTCTTTTTACAATAACTAACCTTTTATATATAAATCCAATACTCTATCTTTAAACTACCTCTACTTTAATATAGATTATCTTTTTATATTAAAAATTATCATTTTCAATTATTAATAATTCAATAACAAATAAATAAAATCAATTGAGATTTTAATTATAAATTTATTATATAATTATTAATAGATTCGAAAATTTTCAGATTTTTTACAATTTTATTGATTGAGAAATTGAAAATTGAAATTACGATTTTCAATTTATATTGGATTTATTGTAACGATCTGGTCGAGGCGGCGGCTGCCTGAGGTCTCGTATGATTGGTAGTTGTAGATTAAGACTAATAATCACTGGTTATCCACTCGAAGGTGAATATATTACTAGATCAATTGGAATATAGGTAAACTAATTGATAACTAAATTGAGCATGAAGCTTCTAAACTATGAAACTATTCTGATTATATACTAATCCATTTCGGGAGCCTCCAGGAGCATAGACTCCTCGAGGCTTTATCATGTGATTAGGATCAGACTATTTGTCCGAGCTTGCTGAAGGTGGGGAGATTATATAAAGCGGTTGCCATACAAATTTGTATACAAATTGCTTTGCTTTTCAAGGAGGTCCAAGCTCATAAGGACAGGTTGACTTGTTACCCTGTAACATTCTATAAAATGATTTCGTGACAACAAATTTGAAAATATTGAAAATCTTGAATAACTTTTCAATAAAAATTACTAAAAATAAACTATAAATGTTTTTGAGATTTTTAGATCAAATATTATATAATAAATTAATGTTTTGAAATTTAAATAATATAAATAAATCTTTGTTAACATTTTTAAATTTTGTAAAGATTAAAAATTATAATATTTTGATTAAAAAGATTTTTGTAAAAGATTTTTTAAAATAAATCAATTCATTTGATCATTTATAATATAAATATTCGAAAAAAATTTATAATTTATTTTTCATTATTTTTGTTGAAAAGTTATTTAAGATTTTAAAGATTTTATAAATTTGTATATAAATCCTATATAAATCAAAAATCACAAAATTTAAGGTTATAAATCTTAATAAAATCAATTTCAAAAAATCTAAAATTTTCAGAATTGAGTTATAATTATATAATGAATATACGATTCAAATTTCATCAAATTCTATTGATTGGTTGTAAAGTTATTAATAGATGAAAATCACGATTTTTGGTGTAAAAAGGTGGTCCCAAAAGGGGGTACTAGACTTATATATTTGAACCCATCTAGCTTCAACCCCAAAACCATTGTGAACTTCGTTTTCTCCATAAGTGATGTATTACGATGTAATCTAATTCAACTTTCTCTTCTAATCCCCCCTCACAACTTGCTATCAGGACGCACGTATCTCGACCTACCACTTTTACAATATTACGATGGATGAATTGGTATATCATTAAATCTCACGCTTCTCCACCACAGACACTTCCACTCACTCGAAACCTATCTCCTACACCAAAAATCCAAACAAAAGCCCCGTCCTCTTCCAATACTCCTTCGCTGCACTTCCCACCCGTTTCCTCTCTTGCATCTCAAGTTTTATTTTCACTTCTATCTCCTCACTCAAATCCTTAAGTTTCATCCCTGTAATCCCCTTTTCCATATCCCCAGATTGTTTAGATTGTGACGCTAAAGCTTGTTGTAAGACAAAAATATCGAATAAATATTGTTTCAATAGATCTTTTTGTTTTTCTTCATCTAGTTCTCCATCCACTTTGGAATGAACTTCTTTTTCTGACTCTTCTGTTTCCGCGGAATTTTGAGCATCAGATGTATCAATGGAAGAAGCAGTTATTTCATTACTAGCCGTCTTCTCTTGCAAGACCTTACTCCATTTCTCCTTAACTTGGGAATCGAGATGCACTTTCAAAGTCTTAATAGCAACAGGACTCCAAAGATCTGCTCCGGCATCAGCCATAGAAGTTGATAAACCACGAAGAAATTTAAATGTAGCAGGTGAAGGTTGAACTGGAAGTTCTGGTGTTCCTTCCCATAATGCTCTTCCTGCGACTTTTTTTCTCTAGTGATTTTGCTAGAGATGAGATTGATTTTTCGGAAACGGTGCTAGCAAGACTCTCGTGTAGTGATTGAACTAGTGAAAGACCGAATTTTTGTAGTGATGGATTTGAGGGTAGCTCTGCTCGGATATCTCGTAAAATTCGCAAGATATACATTGATATCTTTCCGCTATGCTCGCTATCCTTGTATTGCTCCACAAATGTTGTAATTTTCGTATGTAACTCCTGGAAAGCTTTTTCTAAACTTGAATCAAGATGACCTTGTAGCATCTGCGGATCCTCCTTACTAAGAAGATTTTGTCGCGAGTCAAGACTTTCGTCATCTTCGATATCTTCTAGATCATCGTCCCATCTTTGTTTCTTCAATTCATCAATAACAGTACCTATTTCCTCAATGAGATGCCTCCAAGTCTGAAAACTGTTGACTACCCTTGAAACAGTATCATTACGTCCAAAGGTACGAGCGATAATATCTTGTTTGAAAATATTACCTCCATTGCTGAGTTCCGTTGCCATCATATCTTCATCCCATAGACTAGCATGGTGATCAGTAATCCCTTTATCCCATGTTGCCAACGTGGATTCTATCTCTGTTCCCACTAGATGAAGTTTGCCAACTCGAGTTTCCAATAACTCTACAAGCCGTTTGTTAACAACGCCACGTAAACCATCTCGAAGTATAGACGGATCAAATCCTCTTGCTTTACCTCCATCCCTTATCCATACCTCCAATATCTTCGTTCGTAATTCAACTACTACCTTAAAGTCCAAGCCTCCCTGAAGAGTCTTTGTAAATCCTTCCAGTAGTACCTCTGATGCTTTCTTCGCCCAACCTCTTAATGTATCAACAGCTAATGATCCTTCCAAATCATCATGTCGAACATAAGGTGTAAAGTAAAGAATTTCATCACCAAACCACCGCTCACATACATCTAATCTTAATCCCTCCAAATCTCGAATACTTTCATCTTTCAATAAGGTTTCGTTTTCAGCGCAGCCAATGCTTCGCTAAGTCTCTTCGGTACCAATTCTTGTACATCAAGTAGAGTTCTCGTGTAAATCTCCAAGGCCCGCATAACACCTGATGTCTCTTGATCCGATTCCTCTTCGTCTTCGAATGATAATGCCATTGTTCCCTCGGACATTTAGAAAATGTCGTAGAACATCTTTCGCACCAGAGCTCGTAGCAAGACTATATGCGCAAAGCGCCTGTACTAGATCTTCTCTATCTTCACCATCCTTGGTTGAGACTAATGTCTTCTCAACTGCTCGTAACAGTCGTTTCGTCAAACCACCCTCTTCTTCTTTGCCTCCTCCACAAACTCCCTATCTACACTATCCACACAACCCTCCAAACTCTTCGCCAACAACCGACTCCAAACCAACACTTTCGCCGCGACCACCAAACTCTTCCCTCTCCCCTGCCTCCTCAAAGTTTCCCAACTACAATCCCACACATACCCAAACCCTTCACTCTAGCCAGTCCCTCATCTCTTCCCCTTTTCTCCCATTCTTCATTTCTCCTGTAATTTCCTAATCCAGAGACCATCCCAACCAATACATTTCTTCCACATCCTTCCTACTTTCCCCAACTTTTCCTCCACTTCACGGATATCCTTGCGCATTTGTAGGATTTGCTCGGCGGTTCCAAGTAATTGTCTATAACTACCTCCGACCAATGTACGTAGACGTGCATTTTTCTCATCAAGTTCGGTGGTGAGATCGCGGTGGAATTGTCGGATTTGAGGGAGAGGATGTTTGAATGCTTCTGAGGAAGTGAAGCATGTTGTTGTGGAGAGAGTTGTGGATGCCATTTTGGCGTGAGAGTTGGGAGGTTATTAAAGCTTGTGGATATTCATGTATTGCGAATTGGTGTATCTGAGGAAATCATAGAACTGAATGCCTTCTTCGTATCATTATTCGAAGTTCTAGACTTTGTAAGTTGTTGTATTTCAAGGCTGTGGATGAAGCACACTTGTTCTCGCCGCGTAGTCCGTGCATCAGCCTTCCTGCAAGGCTGACAGATAAGGTTAAAGCCTCACCTCGAATTTCATTTTCCTCCATCATCATCAATTCCGATTTGAATCACGCACCAAAATGATATTTCCTCATAACTCCAATTCGTTTTAACATAAAATTCTCCCTCAAATCTCCAGAGAAAATCCAATTGACCCCCTCAAATCCTTCCAACCCCCGCTCTCAGAAATGAACATACCCACCCCAAACCCCCACCACACAACCCTCCTCACCCTCCACCAAATCCTCCACCTAACTCACCACCGCAACAAAAACCAACACCGTCTCTCAAAATGGTACAAATCATTCAACATCCTGCGTCGACAAATCACCCGTCTGCTCGCTCTCATTCCCGAATATGTGATTGAATCATCACGTGGAAAGTCAAAAGTGAAAGTAAAAGGGAAAGCAAAGGAGAGGAAGGAGAGGGGAAGAGAGTTACAGGACTTGATTGGGTTTATGCGGAAGGATGTGGTGGGAGGGTGTTATTTGTGAGTTTCTTGTTTTGTTTCCGTTTTGTTGTCGGTTTGTGGAGGGAGGGTTATGTGGAGCAGGAAGGGGAGAAACGGCGGAACAGGATGGTGTGAAGTAAGATTGCTAATAAATG